TCAGCTATCTTCTGTAAATTCTCCTCTCCAAGTTCTCCTCTGCCTTAACCAGGTATTGCACTCACACTCTTTGGGTCCTTTCACTGGAGCTAACTAACACCTTTATCTACTGTGCCATGTGTCCTTGAAGAAACGTTGTGATAAATATGGCAAAGATGAGGAACATAGTCCAAATAATGTAAATAGTATATATATATATATATATAGTAATAATTATATATATATATATATATATATATATATATATATATATATATAGTAAATAGTATATATATATTTGAAAAGTGTGTGTATATATATATATATATATATATATATATAATTATTTATATATTATATGCACGGTACAGCATATTTAATACCTAAAAAAAACAAAAAAAAAAAAAAAAAAAGATCAGATATAATTTCCATATGTAACCATGAGAATAAATACTCATTACCAGGATTCATACCAAAATAAATAAAAATAAACAAATAAATATAGAAAATAAAATAAAACACCAATAACCACTCTTTAGTTCAAGCTAGCACCACAATAATTACATTTATAGGTTTTTATTATTCTCTCACCAACATTACTAATCACTACTAACAATTTACAATAAATATTAACCACTTATAAGTTGAGGAATATCTTGCCTATGTTCGTTTTAACGGTTTTGTTATATGGTGGATTAAACCAGATAATGTTTCTCTTTCTGTTTTTTTTTTGGCTGTAGAAAGTATATATTGTAAATGTTGTGTGTTACCACTTGCTTTTAGTGATCATTGCATGGTGCTTTTTTGCTATTGAAAATGTGTATGTTAGATGAGTTCTCAGTCTGCGGCTGATTGATTTTGCTATTTGTTTAATGATAGAAGGTGGATGGTTGGATGATGTGTGTACGTAAGTTGGGGTGTCATTTTCTTTTTTGTACGATTCATATGTGTTGTTGATCAGGTTATGAGTGATGTCAAGGAAGTTTACTGTTGTTGTGCCTGCATTTATCTCTATTTTGAATCCAATATTTTTTAGGGCGTTCACTATTTTCTTCCTGAATTTGTCTAATTTGGGGTCATTGGATTCCCTTATTAAAATAAGACCTTCATCTCTGTATAATCCTGTGTCCTTTCTCTCCATGATTCTGGCCAGGTATGATAGAATGAGTATGCCTACTAATTCGCATATTGCAGCTCCATCATAGCTACTCATTGTTACGTCAAACATGTTGTAGTTTTGTTTCTTTGCCCATGGTTCATTATTGTGGAACAGCAGAGATTTGCGGCAATGTTTGATTATTTTTATATCTCCATCCGTGAGTTTTACATTTAGCTGTGCCAATTTAAAAATAAATATAAATAATAATAATTTTTACCTATCATAATTTTGCACAAACCCCCACCACATGTATATACATACATGCGAGGAAATATTATTCAGTGGAAAAATAAAAATATGACATGTATACATTCACAAGACATTCACGAGAAATTTTCGCTACACTTCCAATCTTTGAATTTCAACATACAAATGCGTATGTATAGACACAAAACCACCCGTATACATACATATGTCATATCCGAAACCGCCCACATATGTTTATATATGTATGAGTCCCAACGGACAACCAAGTATGTATATGTGTCTGCGTACTCCATTAGGTGTATGAACATACATCAATGTTTGCGTTAGTACGATGACACAACAACGACGTTTCCCCCACCACTTCCATAATAACACCAATACACGCAATCTACATAAACCCAAAAATTAAAAAAAAATTAATCAGTTTGTCTGACGATCGCTAAAGCGTGAAACCCAGGGTCACAAACTCACATCTATCCAACCAAATATATATATATATATATATATATATATATATATATATATATAAATATATATATATAGTATATATATATATATAAATATATATATATAGTAAATATATATATATATAGTAAATAGTATATATATATATATATATATATATATTAATATATACATATATATATAGTAAATAGTCTATATATATAAAGATAGATAGATAGATCTTAGTAAAGATTGTCTTTTCACCATTTTTGCACTCCATGTTCTGGCTTTCATTTAAAAAGCTTCCTAAGTTGGTTACTCACTGTTCTCCTCATTCCCTCTTGCCTTCAACACCTTCTGTGAGTGTCAAAGTCTCCAGGCCCACTTTCCATATTATATATCCTAGAAATTTCACCTTTCTCTTTTGGATGTTAATATAAGTTACCTTTTTGTTTTCATTTTCCTTAAAACTTTCTTGTTACTTACATGATATATTCAGCATCCTTCTGTTGCTTCCATTATCTTCTTCATCTGTGATGCTATTGCCCAGTATTCACTGTGTTATGATGTTAATTTGGGGTTAATAAAGACAAACGCCAAATAACATGTAACAATAAAATGGGGTTTATTCGGTTGGTAAGTTGGTACAGATATCGCCTGAGTAGTCTATAACTAACTCAGCTCAGAACTTCTCCGACTCTGTCTTTTTACATGCCACTATTTTACGTCCTTGTTTGTAGACGAGTTCATCTTCAAGAGGGGTGGTAGGTTCCTACACAACACCTCCCCCTTGAGATTAATTCCGGAGGAATTAATATATTTTCCTTTTGGGATCTGGACTTAAACGTTCCATCCTAGTTCTTTTTCTTTTGCTTGTCCTTCTGAACAACTGTTTCAGACAATGGTGGAGTCGGTATATCAAATAAATCATATAATAATACCTCCATTGGTTCTTCATTTCTTAACTTATTTCTTCGATGATTCTTTTCCTTAATTGGTTCAAATGTCTTTTTTGTGCGTCCATTTTTTTGTTGGAGATAGGCATCCGATAAATCCAATTTAGAATATTTTTCCTCTTTAAACTTGCAAAATGTCTTCTGATGAAAGGCAAAGGATATGTGTGGTCTTTTAAGCAATCATTTAGACCCGTAGAAAAATCGGCACACATCCGAATTTTATTTTATTTTTCTTAACATATACAACAGGGCAGGCCCACTCTGAAAATTCAATGCGTGAAATAACTCCTAAATTTTCAAGCCGTTCCAATTCCTTGTCAGTCTGTTCCAAAACACCGCTTGAAAATAGGTTTTACATTTTCCTTCACTTCAAATTTTGCCTTCGCCTTTTTGCAACATCCAAGACCTTCTGAAAATACTTGTGGAAATTTTATTTTCAGATCTTTCACAAAATTTTCAGTAACCCGATTTTTACACCGAGAAGAAACATTAACTCTATTGCAAAAAGAATTTATAGGGAGTTCCCATAAATTAAACAGTATAATCCAATCTGTTCCAAACAAATTTGAAGCATTTTGTAGCACATACACTTTTTAGACTTTAGTGTCTTACCAACAAATGAAATATTACAAGAAAATTCACCTTGAAAATGCAATTTTCTTCCAGAAATCCCGCGAGCCACTTTTTCAGTCTTTTTAAGCAAAGGTCTGCCTATTTTAATCCATGTTGCTGTATTAATAATAGAAATATCACTTCCAGTATCTAGCTGTAGTTTAACATTTTTTCCATTAATTTTTACTTGTACGAATTTTCTTTTCTGCCCCTCCTCAATCTCCTGACGTGACAACACAATATTCACAATATCTTTTTTCGACTTAATTTTTTTTCTTTTGCTTTTACAATGAGTACTTATATGGCCTTTATTGCCACACGTATAGCAATTTTGTCGCGACTTTTAAAATGACCACCACCGCATCCAAAGCACGTTGGTTTTTTAACGTTTTTATTAACTATTCCCTTTTTTGGTCGAATAGCATGGACACGGGATATGTCTTTTTCTTCGATTTGCGTATTGTCATGTTTTAAATTTTCAATTCTTTGACACTCTTCCGTAACCTTCTGCAAAGTAATCTCGGAATTTTGTTCGAGTTTTGCCAATATTCGGGACCTTATGTCCTTATCTTTGCTAGAAGTCAAGCCTTGAACGAATATCAAACATTTAAATCGATCAATTGAAAAATCATGTAACATAAAACGTTCACACATTCTGTTAACATTTCCAGCATACGTAACAATATCCTCATCGTCACGCTTTACCATATTCAAACATGAGAAACGAGTATGAAACAAACTAACCCGCTCGCCAAAAATACTAGATAAAGTATTAACAGTTTCTTCGAAAGAAATGTCACTAGTTTTTCTTGGAAGGACAAAATTCGTATACTTATTATTTTCATCTGTACCCAACTTTTGTAAAAAGTAAACTCACTTTTTTGTTCATCAGTCCAACCTTCACATTTTTTTCAAATATTGTTTCAAATCTTCTGAAATACGCAGGAAATGTTATACCCTCCTCTGGGTTAAATTTGAACTCGGTAATAGAATTAGCAATACCTTCGGCCGTGAATGACGAATTTACTGGATTCTTTAGTAACATTGCTTCAAATAAAGCCTTTGTGTCATTTCGCTGCTGAACTTGTAAATCCAATAGTTGTTCCCGAAACAATTTTTGTTGCTCTTGTTGCAATCTTTGTTGCTCTTGTTGCTGAATTTGGTTTTGCACTAGAGTTTTCGTTAATGCAATCAAATCTTCCATTATGCGTAATAGATTACACAAAACACTTTTCGAAAACAGTCAAAAAGGAGAAAAACACGTATATATCCAACAATAAGCACAAGTCTTACTTTTTTTGGCACGTTGAAATCCTATTTCTTCTTGAAGAACAAAGTTCGACGTATTGTTTTTTTTTCTTTCTTTCAGTGCGAGAAAAAAAAATTATATAGTCCACCTAGAGTTGAAAAATTCTCCGCTCAGCGTGATGAATGAATCTCTCGTCGCCACTGTTATGATGTTAATTTGGGGTTAATAAAGACAAACGCCAAATAACATGTAACAATAAAATGGGGTTTATTCGGTTGGTAAGTTGGTACAGATATCGCCTGAGTAGTCTATAACTAACTCAGCTCAGAACTTCTCCGACTCTGTCTTTTTACATGCCACTATTTTACGTCCTTGTTTGTAGACGAGTTCATCTTCAAGAGGGGTGGTAGGTTCCTACACAACACACTGGAAGAAAAGGACTGATATTACATAACAATTCAGTAATCTTTTCTATATTTCTAATGAAATTTTCCTGTTTCTTAATAGTTTACTTTGATTTTGGAAGGCATCTTTAGATATTTCTATGTGTCTTCAGATTTCAGTGTTAAACACTTTGTAGATGTTTACATTTTCATACTTGCTTGATTTTGGCATCCCTAGTTTGTAGTTCTCATCTTGGGACATCCCTTTTGCTGAAAACCACATATTCTGTCTTCTGGCATAATTTTACATATACTTTTAATTTATTTATTGCATTTTTATTTCTCACCAGAATTCAACACTTGGTCAGGGGTAAGAATAGTCATGTTTGCCATTGTAAAAAACAATATGTGTTGAGGGTTACGTTAGATTATGAAAGATCCTACTCTGAATTTAGAAAAGGACTATCGAAATTACATACTATTTTTTTATAACAGGTAATAGAAATGATATTACTTGAAGACTTTCAGTAGCAGTAACACCTAAAATGGATATCATAAGTGACTTGAAGAGAAAATAATGATATAATGAAAATGTCGACTTTCTGCATTAGTTTAAACAATAGTTTAAGAAGGAAAGCCTCATCAGTACCTGAAAGAGTTATAACAGCTAGTGGATTGAGAAACATATTTTTCTGAAAAATTCCTTAAAGCCAAAGGTTTTATAAATTTCAACCTGAAGTAACATTAACTGATCTGTTAATGAATGCCAAATTTTTCCTTATAATGAGACTAACACAGAATCGAAGACAAAGAAGAATACCAAAACAGAAATCACATCACTTGAAGACTTTCAGCAGCAGTAACAAATAAAATGGATAGCATATGCAACTCAAAGAGAAAATAACAACACAATCATTATGCTAACAGAAAATATTTGGAAGGAAGTCTCCATCTATATGAGAATGAGTAATAACTTTTACTGGACTTGAGAAAACTCTTTTGCTAACAGAAAGAATTCTTGTAAGGAAATGGCTAATCAAATGATGTTCCATACTATTTCAAACAAAAGATTTAGGCAGAAAGCCCCCATCAATACTAGAAAGGGATATAAATTTTACTGGACTTGAGAAAACTCTTTTGCTAACAGAAAGAATTCTTATAAGGAAATGGCTAATATTTCTGTTACTATTACCATTTAATAATGTCTTCATTTAATGCACTCTAATTGTAATTTCAAGTGTTGACATACACATGTGAACATACATAAATGTTGCAATGAAAAAAAGAAACAAATAAACTAAAATGCAGAAATTTGTTGCAATGAAATGATATACATTAACCTAAAGCACATTGATTTTTCTATTGCAAGAATTTGGAATTTTAAGAAATTTTCTCAGCTAGTAACAAAATCAGAATCCAAGTACTCTGTGTAACAAGAGAAACAAAAAAGAAAAAAAAAACTTGCAAAAGTGACATAGATAAATAAAATATCAGTCCTAACATGGCATCTCAAATTCAGCTCAAGATTCCCAGCTCTGTAATTTAGGTTCCCTGTGACTTTTATGGAAATACTTTGATGGCAGTTGTTCTGATGAACTTTCCACTATGCTACCTAGTTTTTACGAATTTAAAGTCAGTACTAGATTGGCAGCTAGGTCTCATCACTTTACAGTTGAAATGACTAGATGTAAGTTCTATGCTAACAGTTTCTTCTTTCACATTTCTCTCTTGTAGAATTCTTTTCCAGCATCTTGCTTCCCAGCCAACTTTGTTCTTCAAAACTTTAATTGCAATGTCAGTCGTTATCTTCTGTTTTCTTAATTGTTTTTCTTTTATTGTTTTCTCTCATTAATAGTGTATTTTTCTTATATTCTCTAACATTCAGTCACCCCTTGCATGTTAGTGGCTTTATGGACTTGCTTGTGGTGAAGTGATTGAAATAAAGTATAATTAAATAAAAGGTAAATCAATGTAAAAAAAAGAAAGATTACCCACCAGTAATGTGAGCCACAAGGTCATTATGGAACAGCTTGAGGAATGGTGCAAGTGCATTTTTGCAGTGTTTTATGGCTTCTGTTGTGTGCTTTGCTGTGTGAGCCCAGGCATTGAGTTTATTTTCATAGAAATAATCCAAGGAAGGACAGTTTCCTTTTTGTTCAGACGAGTAAAGCCACTTCCCTAGCACTTCAAGAAAATAAAAGACATAATGAAAAAAAGAAACATAAACAATAAAAGTATAATAAAGGCTTAATACATTTATAAAAACCTTTTAAAACAATGTCCAAAACAACCTTCAGTCCATTGTTAATGGGGATTGAAATTAAACTTCTCTCCATTAATCATCTTAGAGACCCCTCTCTGCCTTCTCTCAGCATGGCTAATGCTAACCTCCATAAAAGTGACTCATTATGCCTTCTCAGCCTAACATTCTCAGCTGACATTAAATGGAAAAACTATATTGAATTCATTGCTAGTTTCACTGTGTTGTGCAAGACAATTTTCTCTCTAGAATCTATCATACGTATCTATAAGTCTATCATTCATCCATGCTTAGAATATAGCTGCCACATATGGTCTGGTGCCCCTGCTGTATACCTTGATAAAGTCCAAAGAAGAATCAGCAATATTATAGGTCCTGATCTGGCAGCTTGACTTCAGTCACTTTTCCACTGCCCTATGGTTGCCTCTCTGTGCCTTTTCTAGAAATACTTTTATTGTATTTTCAACAGCAGCAAAAACTAAAATGGATAGCACATGAAACTCAAAGAGAAAATGATGACATAATCAAGATGTTGACATTCTACACTCCTTCAAGTTTAAGAAGGAAACTTTCATCATTACTGGAAAATAGCAATAACAGCTACTGGGCTTTTGGAAACTATTTTCCTACAGAATCTGTTTTAAGGGAAAGATTTTATAAATATCAACCGAAAGCTACTGGTTGTTGTTCCCTTTTAGGTAAACAGGGAATATTACAATAACAATTAAGAACTTGAGTGATGTTCTTAAATAGCTTTGTCAGATTGAGACTTTCATGTGGATGTCATACATGGTGCCAAACCCATTCAAAAATGTCTAAATTTTTAGCTGTAAGCAATGGATTACTTATATCAGTGATTAAAAGTTTCTTTAAGTGAATTAATTCTGTAGGTCTCAGAGTGGATCAACCTTCTTTGAACCTCATGGATAAGTGCTATATACAGTAAAGTTTTCTGCCATAACTAAAGTTCATTTGTAACGTTTTTCAATGCACTGATAGTAGCGATTTTCCAAGCGTAGCTTGGATGTGGCACAAGGCTGAAAGTAAGGGGCACCCAGCGAGGATCAAACTCAGTACTCAATCGTAATTGTGCTAGCAAGACAAGCTTGCTAACCATTACACCGCCTCAGGGTGCCCGTAAAATTTTCTAAGTGTAGCTTAGATGTGACAAAAGGCCATAAATGTGGGGCACCCAGTGAGGATCAAACTCACTATTCAGTCATAATAGATTTAGCACGACAAGCTTGCTAACCATTACACCACATTGAGGTGCCAAAATGCACTGGTAGTATGGTTTAGACAATACATGCTTAAATTCATTAAAAGATTCTTTTCTTGAACATGACCCACTGAGTGTAACTTATATATCTGTTATGTCATCAGATATAGTAACCTGTATTTTTAGCATATCTAAAGGGGAAGAGTCCGCTCTAACTTGCACTTTGTTTATGTTTGCCCTACTATTTAATGCCTTTATTATTTGAGCCAACATTTCTGGCTGTTTATTTAAACCAAGTGTAATCTACTTAAGAAAATTCTCAGATCTTTAATAAATATCTATGCAGATGATACCACAGTTTATGGATTCACCAACAAAAATCTAGATGACCAGAGCATTGCAGCAGCTGATCTCTCCCCTGGTTGAACTCTAACAGCTCATTAATGGAAAAACAGGTTTGTAATTTTCAATACCTCAAAAAAACAAACTAGTAAGTATTCATCTTCAGTGATCTAACCCTGAATTCTCACCTGTCATAATGAATGGTTGCATTCTCAAAGAGTCTCCTTCCTTTGAACGTCTATTAGGACTCAAGTTCAATCTTAGGCTTCAGAATAAAGAGGTTAGTCAGTTGGTTAAAATGGTCAGCTCCTCTTCAAGTAATCGGGTTTCTGTTATTTGTGATTTTCTAGCACCAGTCTACAAGACTTGAAGAAGTATAAAACCTACAGGCTTCATTTGTTTGAAGCCATTTTTAACTATTGCTCTGAAAAAGCTGGTGAATAAAGTTGCCAGTTTAGATATTTCTGAAAGAATTTGGTACTGATATGAAAGTTGATATGAAAGTCTAGATCTGATGAGACTATTTGTGAATATGATTTGAGTTCTTATGTTAAAGTGATTCTGTAGTGCCAGTCTACAAAGTTCTAAGAGGGATGGTCTTTGCCAAGAGCCACAGTCTTCACTTGTTCAAAGCCATATATATGATCATATATATGAACTATCAGTGGAAAAAATGGTTAGCTCCTTATGCCACTTCAGGAACTACCTGACTTCATCTGCCATACTATATCTTTAGAAGTGTCAGATCAAACAAAAAATGGGGTATTTGCTGCCATATATGGGCTGGTGCTGCTCAGCCCTCATTGTCTAACCTTACGAGAGTTCAAAGCAATAATGTGGCCTTGTGGAGAATTGATTATTTTCCACTCTGCAACCCTCTTTCCCACAGAAGAAATATTACAAGCCTATCAATATTTAATGATATTTCCATAAAGTAACATTCCTTACTTCTACCACTTCAGACCTTTACAACTAAAACCTCTACTATGCTAATTGCCTTGGGGCAAAACATCTCCATTGTCCTCATACTCCACTGGTATGAAAGAAGTTTCTTTTGGACAGCTTTTTCCCAAGAGCCAATATTTTATAGAACAGACTCCCAAGAGGATGCTTTTCTGATCAATACAATCTTAACCTTTTCAAGTCCAGTGTCAACAGTTATCTATCTTACATATCATTGGCTTATGGATCTCATACGAACAGAGTAGTTAAACAACATTGGCCCTGGTCATTACCTAGATTGGTGACTGCTTAAGAATAAATGGTTGTGTAAACTTCGATGTGCAGGTGGTGTAATGGATAATAACTCAGGATGAGAAATAAGAGAGCCAAGTTCCAATTCCAGTTGGATTTGTTATATTCTCTTATATACAAATATGTTTGAGAAAAGGTATGAATCTATCTATGGGTTAATTAGTAGGACGTGTATCGGTAAATCATTATTATCTCCAAAACTTCTTACAGTGTAAAATATATTCTGGTTTTAAATAACCTGCAAAAGGTTGATAATCCATAAATAAATCAACCTATATATCTTTATAATCTGCACTTCTTTCCTCCTTCTCTTATGTATGTGAAACAACCTTGTTCTGTAAACCTCTATCTTGAGTGGTTCTTTGTCCTTTTATTGGGTGAACAATTGTTTAAAATAAACCTAACAATGCTTGTCTGTACTACAAACATTATTGGCTTACATTATTGGCAAGTATTATTGTGAAATATTCAATTCAAAAAGGCAGTAATCAAGTCTATAATATTCTTTAAATTCTAAAACTTTTTCTTTCTAAATGTTTCATTGTTGAGGTATTCATAGACCCAAAATCGAACTTTCATGAATTTGTATACACAGAGTGTCCATAAAGTCTCTTTACAATTTAAAAAATATATTACAAAGACAACTGATGTGGCACCAAAACTAGATGACATTCAACTCATTGAGGACTCCATGTTTGTGGGTTCCTAAATTTAACATTTCTAAGCAGGTGATTTGGATGGGATGACCCAAAATTCCCTGGCCACCACATTCATCAGATATCACTTCCCTAGATTTCTTTCTATGGGGTTATGTTAAAGATATCTTGTATCAAACAAAATATATGGGACATCACTGATCTAAAGTGAAAGATTACTGATGCCAATGCCACCTTCAATATTTACTCCTCATTTTGTAACAATTTCCACATATTTGCTTATTTGCTTCTGTAATAATTTTTTTTAAATTGTAAAGAGACTTTGATGAAAATTTCATCTTTGTAAAAATATATTACAAAATCAAATGGTAAGATATCTTAATCAGATTTGTTCTATGTATTCAGTAGTTATCAGCATTTTTAATCCCACTGCATTTGTGTATTTCAGGTATCCTGTTGATAAAAGAGATACTGTCAAATGAACTAATATTTCCAGACTGGTGGATTGGAAGGGATATCTCAATTCCCTGGCCACCTCATTCACCAGATATCACTCTCCTAGACTTCTTTCTATGGGGTATAAAGATATAAAGATATTGTGTATCAAACAAAGATACAGGACATTACTGGTCTAAAGCAAAAATCAATGCCACCAATGATAAAGCTATGCTATAGCAAATATGGCAAGAAATCAAGTAATTTCTTGACGTGTTTCATACAAATACTGGTGCCCATATAGATGTGCATTAAATTAGTTAAAAAAAATAACTTCAATATCTACTTCTCATTTGGTAATAATTTCTACATTTTTGTCTGTTCATTTGCTTTTGTAATAAATTTTTTAAATTGTAAAGAGACTTTACGAACACTCTGTATTATTTACAAATATTAACAAGAATAACTGTTTTAAGGAAAAGACGTAACCTTTATTTGTAATGAGTTGGAAAAGTTCCACATACCTTTTCTATAATTTTCAATAATTGATGTTGGCGAAGAAAACACGATTCCAGTTGTAGTCGTCAAGTCAGCAATTAAATTCATGCCATCCTCTGAGAAAACAAGGAACATTTAACTAGAGTACAGTAACAAAGTTAATGACAGTAATGTCTGCCACATTTTTCTTTACATTTTCTATGACCTGCAGTGATTATAATGAAACCTACATATACTAATGTTGGGGATGTGCAGAATAAACTAAGGAATTTGCTGTAGCATTGAGAAGGAATTTTTATGTTAGGTTGCGTGACGTTTTCTGCATCCACAAACAAATAAACAATTTCAATGTAAACAAGACATAACATACATGCAATTCAAAATCGATAAATGCATTTATATACAAATAAGATAATATGTACAGAATATTTTGAAGATGTTATTGTGTTGGTGTGCTCGTCATATTTGTAGTTTTTGTATGTCCTTTTTTATGTCTTGTGTATCTGTGTTACAGTCTTTTTAGGAAATTGTAATTAGTATTTAGAATGTCGGTATTATGTTTTTAGAAATGAGTCATTATGAAGTAGTCTACCTTTGACTGCAAATGTTGAGTTCGTTCGATGATGTTATTTACTTAGAATAGTAGTGAGTGTTAATTCACTTTAGATAAGTAAAGTTGTTCGGATAGAAGTTTCGATGTTCACAAAGTTTTCTTCGATTTGGGCTTGCGAGTGAGTCAGTAATGATTTAGTTTGAGCATTAGTTTGCGCGGCAAGATTGCAGTTGCAAGCAACGTGGATTATATTAGCATATATCTGTGCTCATTCAACTGACTGACTTATTGTAGATGATCAAAGAGAATGTATAGTTTGAGATTCTTGAATGATAAAGAAGTTCGAAGAAGATATTGAACGGGAAAGATTTGTCATCTCAATTAGCGAGACGGTGAATTGTAGTCGTCACATTTTTAAGCTTGAGTGAGCGATCAAAAAATGGTCTGTTGCTGATCTGCCCAGGTCTGCGTCACCGTTTGCTTCTGCATGGTCACACGTGATTTGGGTTCTTTTTAAGAGGTCATAATCGCGTGGGTGGATCCAGAGTGATTTTAGGCCAAAACTTCGACGTGTACGTACGGGCGACCTGATTGGTAGAAATGAACCAATCAGAGGGCTAGATTTACGAATGAAAGTTGGAATAGTGCATTACTCGAAGAAGGTAAGATTGGGCTAATGGACAAGCCCAATACTAGCATATTGACTGAAATAATTTGCCTTGATCATAAGTTTAGAAATTTATTGTAATAAACTTTTTAAACACTAAATAATGGAACAAAATGACTTTTTCTCTTCGAAAATATATTGTTTGAAATCAAACTCACTTTTGCTTACTCTTTCACTCTTTCTCTTCAGTTATTATTCTTATTTAGTACTGTTCAGTTATTGCTCATCCGTTTCCACTGGGGGAAAGTACACTCTGCCCAACCCAGGAATTGAACTCACAATCACTGTCACCAAATTTCACAAACAATGCTTTAATCCACTAGACCAATGTTCCATAATTCATGATTTCCTTGTAAAAAAAATATTCTTATAATCCAAAATATGTTTCATCTTTAAATAACCTATAAAGGGTTGGTAAACCATAAAGAAAATAATTCTATTAAACAAAAACTAGAAGTTGTTTGTGCATGCTCGGACTTTACATATTTAATTACATTTAAAGTTATTGTTCACTGATATGTGTTATGATGGCATCATGTGCAGATGTTATACAAGTATGAGCCTTAGTGTTGTCATCAGGTGCTGAAAACTGTTAAAACTATGGCTTCACCATTGAAGAATTTATTTAGATTTGGATATTTTGATTTTAATAGCTCTTCAAGAATCTGAGGGTGTTTTTTCTTGCAATTAATATTATATGTGCCATGTCCCTTCAGATGTTGGCAATTATGGCTCTCCACAATTTCTTGCATTTTATAGCTCTTCAGAAATTTTGTCTTTTTACTATATCTTCTAAACATTCTCCTGCCTTCCATTAACTAAAACTCCCTAAAAAAAATTATGCAGTGTTTTCTTTTATCGCTTTTGTGATGTCAATGAATACTCATTGTCACTTTTGTAATGCTCATTGTAGTAGAGACTTTGTAATCACAGATACAATTATAGTACACCGTTGAACAATACTGGTGTCAGATGCTTTTGAATAACACTCACACTAATAGTACTTGCTCAATAATATTCGCTCGAAAAGTAACCAACAAATAGTGATCTGAATAGTAGTCCATATATTGATCTGAATCGTAATCCATATAGTGATCATTTAGATGCCACACTAATTCCTATATATACATTTCTTTTACCATCATGTGATTTACTTATTCAAAATGGGATTGCCTGTGTTTGCTCTCTGGTGATCTGTGTTCAAACTCCAGTGTCGGCAGCGGCACTTTATTCCTATATAATAGTTGCTCTTATCCATTTTGTTTCCATTTTCTCAAAAACTTTGTCAATCCTCATCTGTCTCATTCATGGTATTCTTATCAACAATTGTAGAACTACATTTCTGTTACTTCAAGTATCTTCACTGCCATATAAGAGGACTGATATTGAATAACAGTTTGGTACTCTTTGTTTCTAACAAAATTTTCCTGTTTCTTAATACTTTGCTTTGTTTTTGGAAGGCATCTTTCACTATCCCACTTCTCCTTCAGATTTCTGTATCACACTTTCAGTCCTCTTTTAAAACACTCTCCAAATTTTTAAATTTAATTTTTTTGCAATCGTTTGATTTTGATATCACCAATTTGTAATTTACATGTTTGGCTGTTCCCTTTTGCTAACAACCATGCATTCTATCTACTTGCAATTGATGTATAGTCCTTTCTTCTCACTTTCCTTCACTAAATTCTGCAAGATTTTTTGTTGTTTCCTTTTTGTGTCTGCTATCAACACTGTGTTATCAGGAAATCTTATGTTATTAAGATTGTGACGAACAATAATGGATACTGGTAGGACTTTTAATTATCTTAGAATCTCCTCACTGTAAAGGTTTAATGAATCTGGTGAGAAGGCAAAACCTTGTCTTACATCCCTTTCTATTTTTGTAATGAAGATTTGTCACATGCAAGTGGAGACATTAGTGCTTACAGATCTATGTTTATTGATATGATTTTTCTTGCATGTATAAATAAATAACATCAGATATTCACATCTGGTATATTTTCTAGAAGCAAACTATATAAGATACAATATAGGAGTACAAAAAGAGGAAAAACTGCTTCACATTTGATTCAGTGAGAAAATTCTACATTTACTGTTTTGGTGATGCTAACATTTGTCTTATTTTTATTAAAAGTAGGATGAGTTAATTAATCAGCAATATACACCAAATATATATAATGTTCTGTATATCCACCAGAAACATACACAATCACAACCTGTAACTACAGTGTAAAGTAAAAATGCCCTCTAAATGTTAACCACGTAAAAAATAATATAATTTATAAAGCTACAGCAAAATCCAAAGGAAAACTTGAAAGAATATATATATGAATCATAAAACATTCCTGGAAATAAATAAACCACAAATTTGTTTAGAAGCAGAAAATATGAAACAGCACAACCTTCCAAATCATGTACAAGAAATTAAAAACCAAATTACAACAGTAACATGGAAAATAAGAAAAACATCACCAAGTTACAACAAGAAAAAAGTAACTTTAATTTTAAATGCTATTAATTTTGTTATTATATAGAAAATTTAAATATTGTTTTACAGTAATTTATTGATGGGCAATTTAAACTTGTTATTAAATAACTATTAATAATTGAGAATTAATTATAATTTTTATTAAAAATTCTTAAATGATAATAATGACTTATAGATAACTCTTTTAAGAAATATATGCTCATATATCATATAATTAAATTTAGAATACTTACCACTGGCTGCAAGTGGAGTAAAAATATCAAAGGATCCACCTTGTTCAACTGGTAAAATGTGGGACGATAAAGAAATGAAAAACTGTTTCACATTTGGTTCTGAGTGGAAATTCTGGGCACTGACCTGACATCCTTCGACTAAATTAATTACACCTGGATCTTCTTCATGGCAGATGAGCCCAATACTTCTGAAAAGAAATACGATCAAAATGGCTTTTATTTGGTGCATTACCGGCAGTAATTATTGTTCTTTTAATCAAAATATATTAAGGTCTATAAAAAGTACTTTTAGTTTGGAAATATTTTTGGGTTATATATCATGCATATAAGAATAGCATTAGGAATGGCAGATATGATCCATCAAAGATACACAGAAAGTATTCATAATGTTATTTATATTATTACTGCTTTAATGAATAATAATAATATTAATACTAATAACAATGCTAATAATTGTAATACTGCGACAATGAATAATAATAATAATAATAATAATAATAATGATTATGTAGGCTGCACAGGAAAGCTACTAAGTGTAGAAAACATTACCAGTAGCACAAAAAGAGTTAAGACCATGACAAAATATCCCTCAAAATACATTATCTGATCTATGCACAAAATACCACCTTGAGAAGTGATATAAGCATTAACGTCTGTCAATAGATGTGAATGACTGTTAGCCAGTCTAAAAGAAAGAAAACTCTGAAATCCAAACTTTAGAGAAAGCAATTCGAAACCATACCATTATCCATTTCAAGGTGTCATAGCAATTCACAGATAATGAAGAAAAAGAATCTGTGTCAAGCCATGATCACATGCATCACCTGTATATAATGATATTGATAACACAGTGTAGAATTTAGATGTGTATCAGTAATCAGTTTTTGCATTCTCATATGTTTTTATATTATTAATTAGGGGAAAATATGATACATATATTGCTATATATCAGAACAACGTTAAGCAAATGAATGACAAATGAAAGTGGGAAAAAATTCTGGATTTCATTGGTCTAAAGGAATTCCATCAACAAAAACATTAATTTAGCCTGATGAAGTTCTAGAGGATGAAATGCATTATACAGATTTTTTCCACTTTGTCATTCATTTGCCACCTAATATTAATAATATAATAAAGTTATACTCTTTATATATGTACATTAAATAAGCTTGGGATTGAATTTCAGTAAGAAATAAAAGTTCTTTTGTTACACCCACTAAATAATAACATTAATAATATAGTGAAATGATAGATAGTCTTCATAAGTCTACATTAAATAAACTTTAGGATAATGCTCTGTAAAAATAAAAAGGAATTAAATGCTCTTCTCCAAAATGTGGCACATGGGAACATCAACACTCCCTGTTGCAGTTGGAGCCCTCGGATTGGTTGGAAAAGATTCCAGTAGACTAATTGAAGGGATTCCTGGAAGCCCATGCCTTAAAGAAATACAAAAAAATTGTTCTCACAAGTACAGCCCACACCTTAAAAAGGCCTTTATCTATGTAAAATATGTTTTTTTTTTTTTTGTCAGTGGAAAATGTCATAATGCCATTTCTAACCTTAGGTCTCTGGGCGGGACCCAGAAAGAAATGTGTACAAAACAGAAATCAAAGGAAAGAAAATAATAATAAAACTCTTTACCGATCAGTGATTATGTAGTGCAGGGTTAAAAGCTAAAATTGAAGGTTTTTATTCTTGTTGCACAGGACAAAATATTTGCTAACTAGAAATTACCAAGCACTCATTCTAAAAAATTGCAGATTCTGTTATAAATATCCAGAAACAATTGACCATCTTGTATCAGGTTGCCCAGTATTAGCACTCATTTAATATAAAACTTGGCATAATAGAGTGGGGCAATGTCTGCACTGGAAAATCTACAACATTTATCGTCTGGAAACTGGAAGAAACTGGTATTAATATCACGTATAGCCGGTTACAGAGATAGGACCTGTAACAATTTCATGAGATTTTAGAATACAAATAGACAAAATAATCAAAGCTAATCACTTGAACATCATGATAAGAGACCACAAAAACAGAATGTGCTTTCTTATTGACATGGCAGTGCCTGCAGATTGTAATGTATCTTTGAAGATCTTCAAAGAATTATTAAAAGACAAGGATCTTGAAGTGGAAATCTCAAAAATGTGGCACAAGAGGACATTAATAATTCCAAGTGTAGTTGGAGCCCTCGGATTGAGTGGAGAAGGTCAATAGACTCATTGAAGGGATTCCCAGTAGCCCACACCTTAAAAAATACAAACAATTGTACTCAAAAGTACAACTCACACATTATGAAGAGCGTTATCTATTTATTTATTTTTATTTTTTTGTTTTTCAAAAATGGTCAGTAGAAAATGTCTTGAAGCCATTTCTGAACTTAGGTCTCTGGTTGGGACCCAGAAAGAAATGTGCATACAATGGAAATCTAAAAAAATAATAATAATAATAATAATAATAATAATAATATACTATTATTATTATTATTATTATTATTATTATTATTATTATTACTACACCCTAACATACATATGGAATTAATATTTGGACAATCTCTGCTATACTATTCTGCAGAATTCTTAGATTGGAATAATACAGAATTAGAGAAAATATATATAAGTTGATGAAGAACATTTAAGATGATGAATATGCTGTGAATCCAAACAGTGATATTGACAGAGAGGCAGACGGTTAATGAGTGTTGAAGAAGTTGAATCATTTGCTGATCTGGGACTTGAGAACATAATTCTCAAGTCTCAGATCAACCAATGATCCAACTTGTTAAGATTTATTGTGAATTGCTTCTTACATAAAGTGATTAGGGATTTGAGTGTGAAATGTTGTGTGAGTGACTGTAGCAGAGAAGTTACATAAGGAGAAATAGCATGACAAGCTAAAAGAAAAGAGTCTTAATGGTCTGCTTTCAAACAGAGACAGTTGCTGAGCCTGAGTGGTGTCTTTGGTTAAAAGAGGGTTTATAAAGAGAGAAATAGAGGTACTCATATTTGCACAAGAGCAGGTCATCAGAATGAATACAGTCATGATCATGCTAGAAAGAGCACAAAAAGAAAGCAAATACAGGATATGTGGGCAAGCTGATAAGACAGCTCACATGAGATTAGATAAGACATATTCTATGATTTTAGCACAGAAGGAGTATAAACAACAACATGATTGGAAAGATAATATATTGTGAAGTATGCCGTAAGTTTGTCTTCATTGTAAAAGAGGAGTTGTCTGAACATTAACCAGAGACAATAGTAGAAAATGGTAGTCACAAGACATTATGGAATTTCTCAGTCCAGACAGACCATGATAATGAATCACAAAGACCTGACCTTTTTTATAGATAAGGAGAATAGCAAATGTTCAATTATTGATTTTGCTGTTTCATATCAGACAAGAATGAACTACAAGCTGAAAAGATTTTAAAATAACAGAATCAAGCTTCTTTCTTTTATGTGGTGTGTCCCTTCAGGATATAGGCGATTATGGCCCTCCATATCTTTCTGTCCTTTGTAGCTCTTAATAAATTTAGTCCTTCTGTTATTTCTCTCAAACCCTATTCTGCCATCCAGTATGTCACACACTGATTTTCCCTGCCCCTCTTTCCCTCCACCTGTCCTGTGAGTATCAGATTTTCCAAGTCCTCTTTCTTCATTGTGTGCCCAGGAAATTCCAGCTGCCTCTTTCTGATGTTAAGTAAAAGTTTCCTTTTTGTTTCTCTTCTCTCTAAAACCTCTTCATTGCTCACTTGTTCAGTCCATGGTATCCTCAGCAACCTTCTGTAGAACCACATTTCTGTTGCCTCAAGTCTCTTCTTCATCTTTGAGGAGATTGTCCAACATTCATGGCATATGGGAGGACAGATATCATGTACGAGTTCAGTACTCCTTTCTTTGTTTCCAATAAAAATTTTCCTGTCTCTTAATACTATGCTTAGCTATTAGAATACCTCTTTAGCCTTTTGGAATACCTTTTTAGCCAGAAAGTGTGACTGAGATCCAAGGATGTCAAAACATCCTTGGATCTCAGAATTACACTTTCTGTCCTCTGTTAGAATACTTCCCAGAGATTTAAAATTCTGTACCTGCTTTATTTTAGTGTCCCCAACCTGTAATTTGCATTTTGGGCTCATCCTTTTGCTGATGACCATGCATTCTGTCTTCTTGTAGTTTATGATTTGTCCTTTCTTCTCGCTTTCCTTCTATAGGAGCTTTTATAGTTTACTTTCCATGTCTGCTATCAGTACTGTGTCATCTGCATATATATTGTTAAGATATTGGCCACTAATAATGAATTTTGGTATTACTTCTAATTCTCTCAGAAGTGCTTTGCCTTACAGGTTGAATAAATCTGGTGAGAAGACACATCCTTGTCTTACACTACTTTCTATTTTTGTACATCCGCTGAACTCATTTTCTGTTTGTATGCATGTGGTTTCCTGCTAGTATAGATTCTTGATTATTCTAATGTCTTTCCTAAATATATCAAGGTTGCTGAGCAGCTCTAACAGATCTTTGTGACGTAATTTGTTGAACACCTTTGCATGGTCTATAAAACACAGGTACACATCATTCTGCACTTGAATTGCTCTTTTGGATAACATTTTGACCATTTTGAAATATTGTGTTCCTTGTACCACTGTCTTTGATGATCCCAGACTGTTCATGCCCAATATCTAGCCTTATTCTGCTCTGTACTTTATTCATGTTATAGTGAAACACACCTATTCTATAGTTAATAGACTCTCCCACCTATAATAAGTAGGAGTAGTAGGAGTAACGAGGGAGGTGGTGAGGCAGTCGGTCAGTCAGTCGATGTCAGACGACAGTTGAATACTAAAGTATCAGCGACCACAACTAGATTACTCTGCGTTATACCTATTATATCAAGTTTCTAACGTTTTGTACGTCGAACCGATTTTAGGTCTGACCTAGTACAAATACAAGCCTCCACTGTGAAATCACTCTACAACAATTCATCAAAATCTGGATGATGAGTTTTGTTATGTGGCTCATTAGATTGATTGTTTGGTGGAGTTCACATTTGTTTGTGCCTGGTTTCTTAGGAAGTGCAATGAAAATAGATCTGCTTAGGTGTTCCAGTATCTCACCACTGTTGTAGATTTCATGTATTACTGCTGTGATATTGTCTATGCTGAAATCATTTAAGGCTGCCA